ACTGCTGGGCTCCCTCAGAGTGTAATTAATACTATCCAAAACGCCAGGGCTCCCTCCACTAGGAATCTATATGGCTCCAATTGGGGACTGTTTGAGCGGTGGTGTCTTGAACGGGACTACGTTCCCTTTCAGTGTTCTGTACCAGTGATTCTGTCGTTTTTACAGGAACTGATTGATAAAGGAAAAGCCTTTTCCACGGTTAAGGTTTATCTGGCAGCTATAGCAGCATGCCATATAGGATTTGGAGACAAAACGGCGAGCCAACACCCTTTGGTATGTCGGTTTATGAAGGGCGCCCGCAGGCTTCTCCCTGTCTCCAGACCTTTGCTGCCTCCGTGGGATTTGTTTGTGGTTCTGGAGGGGCTCAAGGGACCCCCATTTGAGCCGTTGTTGGGGACCAGTCTTAAACATCTGTCTCTCAAGACAGTGCTGTTACTGGCTCTGGCCTCTGCGAAACGAGTCAGCGACATTCATGCGCTTTCTGTGAACCCCGCATGTACACGCGTATGGTGCTGAAGCCCAACCCGGCCTTTGTTCCTAAAGTGGTTGGTTCTTGTTCACAGATCGAGCTAGCGCCATTCTCCGCCTCCCCCGGTGAACAGCGTGCGCACATGCTGTGCCCTGTTCGAGCCGTGCGCTCTTATCTGGACAGGATGCAGAGCTTCAGGAGGAGTGATTAGCTCTTTGTCTCCTGGGCGGAGCCCCGTAAGGGACAGCCGATCACAAAGCAATGCCTCGCCCACTGGGTGGTGGAGGCTATAGCTTTGCCGTATGGAAGCAGGGGTCTGCAACCCCTGGCGGGTCTGCGTGCACACTGTATGCGTGGGATGGCTGCGTCCTGGGCTTTATTTCGGGGAGTGTCCGTTCAGGACATTTGTTCAGCGGCGAGTTGGTCCTTGCCTCTGACTTTTGTACGGTTCTACATGCTTGACGTGTCTGGACCGTGCGTGGCCAGTGCGGTCCTAGAGTCATAACTGAACTTGTGGACCTTCCCCATTGCCCGGTTTCCAGTTCGATAAGCTGTCTGGCAATACGGGAGCTACCATATCCCATAGCAAGACACCGAGTGAATATTATGAAAAAGAACGTTTGGTTATCTAACATAACCCCAGTTCTTAGAATAATATGAGCAAGATGTCTCGCCAGACGACCCTTCTTGCAGGGCGGCGAGAAGAGGTTTGCTTGTTGAATTGAAGTGCCCTGATCCACACACGCTTTAGTAGTCGGAGCTACGGGGCGTGGCGTAAGACGAGCACTTTCACCGGCCAATCAGGATTGGCAGATTGAGATAAATGCTTCTATCAGGGCTGCAGGAGGCTGCATCCCATAGCGAGACACCTCGCTCATATTATTCTAAGAACTGGGGTTATGTTAGATAACCAAACGTTTTTCCCCATACTTCTGAACATTAAGACAAATAAGGCATAACCAAAGAGGAATATATAATATGCAGGCCTTTAATATTTATTAAATCTTTTATTTTAAATAATATTCCAATAGTTTTTGCAATTTTATGTCTAATATATTCAATGTGAGGCTTCCAACTAAGTTTGTTGTCTATAATAATCCCTAAAAACTGTGACTCATAAACTCTTTCAATTTCAACTCTATTTATACATAACTCCACATCGTTATAGACCCGATTACCAGAGAATACCATAAATTTAGTTTTCCCTTCTTTTAACGGCAACTTATTATAATCAAACCATGTTTTCAACTCAGCTAACTCTTTTTCTATCGTTTTTATTATTTCATCCAAATTTTTCCCAGAAAAAAATAGATTTGTATCATCAGCAAACAATATAAACTTTAAATTACTGCCTATGGCAAATTTCAAAATAAAAGCCTCCCATTTCCGCTTCATCTACTGCCCTAATAACATGGAAAAGGAGTGATTTAACGATTGGAAAGCCATCAACTATCAGGATCCGGGGCTTTGCCCACCAGAGGGCACCGTGGATCCATGCCTGGGGAGCTTGGACTCAGCATGGACAGCTGTTTTCCTTTCTGCTGATTAAGGAAGCTCTCCCTATATAAGCTGAGTATGACCTCCCCTCTGAGCTGGATCGTTGTCTTACCTGTGCCACCATGCCTGTCTGAACTTGGAACCTGCATTTTCCGTGTGTTCCAATAAATATTGGACTTTTAATCCTCCCTCTGTGTCTGTGAGTTCTGCATTTGGGCTAGTAAAACCATCGCATCATGACAACTGCAAAAATATCATTTAAATAAAGTATAAATAATTTAGGTCCTAGGACTGAGCCTTAAGGAAGACCAAATTTTACTATGCCTGTTTGTTACTTTGTGTTATTGATTTGCACATATTGTAATCTATTACTTAGATAACTTTTTAACCACTGGTATGTAACCCCCCCATAGGCCATACAGTTCACATTTACCTAATAGTCGTGCATGATCAATGGTATCAAATGCTTTACATAAGTTTAACTAGAAGAATGATAAAAGCTTTCAAAATAAGTGTTTTAACAGAGAGCTGCAAATAGACTGGAAGTTTTCTCCATGCACTGTTTAGTACATGGAGCCGATCAGTCTGTTGATCTGCAAGGTTTTAAGGAAACACAGGTTGCTTTAGTCTCTACTTGTCCTGTCACTGAGACCTTGATTACCAAATAAAAATGCTTTTGCCTAAAAAATAAAGCGTTTTTTTCCCTTTTCCCATCCTAACTTTGCGGCTGGTTGAAGAGCAGTTTAACACCAGCAATGTGAAAGCTGTGTCTTGGATACATCCGTGCATGTTGATAACACGGTGCTGCTAAACATCTATCAAACACATTTTTTCCCACTAAATGTTGATATTATGCTTGGAAATAGCAACTTATGTTATTGACTGTCTGCTATGTAAAATAATCCTTTTTTTCTGATTGTGTGATTGCATGGTTGATCCATTTTTTAATATTCACATTTTCATACGATTAATTCATCAGTTAGCAGTAATAAACCTTTCAAATATGTCACTTTCCAATTCAAATAAAAAATAATGTATTAATCCCAAAGGAAAATGAAATGTAATAAATAATACGGTTCTTTCAGCAAGTTGTGGGTGTTGAACGTTGAAGGCACGAAGGATCTTCTGTAGTCTTCTTTATGAAATCCAGTGTTCATGTCTGTGTAATAAATCCCAAGGTATAACTTGGAATAATTTTCATCTTAGTTATTGCAAATAAATCACAAGTTTAATTGCTTCCTAATTGATTTGGATGAACCTGGAAATCAACAGTGTAACAATGCAAATAACAGACGACAGGAGCAACCCGGTAGGATAAATGTACCTGTTTATTGGATGAGAGGAACATTAGTACCAAAAAGGCACAGAGCAGATTTATTATAACAAACATTTTGACCAATAGGGTGACAAAACAAAAAACAAACTCCTTTTCCTGCAGAAAGATCCTTTCACAGAAAGGATTAAGGGTCAAAAAGACTCTTACAAAGCGTAAATAGGACCGTTTACTAAAGCCAGAGAAGTAAATCGTGAAGAGATTCTGAATCCTCTCGGGGGCAGGGCTACGCCTGCATGGCTGTGTACCTAAACATTTGCATTTGATCCTGAATGCTGATTCAAAAAATGACACCTTCTGTTCATGAATAACTGTTCTAAAAAAGGACAAGATATAAAAAACTCCTTTTTATTTAATAGCATTATCCATTATTCAATTCTAATTAAAGATGTTTCAACATTTACAAATGACCAAATAAGCTGTAGAGAAGCTTAGTCATTTGTTGCTGACATTTAAAGCACATGGATATTAAATGTCAGTCGACCAAAATGAAAAAAAAAGTTAATTAACAATAAAACTGATCTGTGTGTAAAGACAGTTTCAGACGTTTGTAAGATAAAAGTGTTTGTTAGCATATCTAAGCAGAGGCTGAAAACATGGCGAAACATCTGGAAAGAGGAAAATGATCAGTTTCAGCATATTTACGAAGTTGTATTTAAAGATTATAAAGGCTGTTAAAGATAAGATGTGCAGACAGATGAAACCAAGAGAGGAGAAATGTGTGATTTAAGCCTTTTGAACTGACCAGTCAGTTCCTGAGCATAAAGTGGAATCGCTGAGCGGAGCTTGTCTCTATAATACTTGAAAAGGTTGAACAATGTTGTCAAGGTCTGTTTAGGGTTAAAAAAAACAACAGAAAAGTGTAGGGATGCGAATCTCCCGTTCCACCACATCCGGTAAGGTACCAAACAGGAAATACACATAGTGTAGAGCGGATGTAGATTTGACCAATCAGAGGCCTCCTGTCTGCGGTCACCTACAATTTTGGAGAGGTGTAGCAAAGTGTCTGCAGAAGGGGCGGGGACACATTTGCATTGACTGCGACACACAAGCAGACAACCTGTTTTCTGGGAATAAATCAGCCTTGTGTGATCTTGCAGTCATTAGCATTAATAACAAACACTTGCTCTTCTTCTGTTTGCTTTTATTATTTAAGTTTCTTTTTTGTAACAATCAAATTTTTATTATATTAATGTTTGTCTCTTTTGGTTTCATTTAAAATATTGCACCTTTGAAAATAATATATTTGATTTGTTTTGTGACAGTTTATTTTAATAAAAGAGTAAAGTATTTTATGTATTCATTTTGTATTAATACATAACCTCACTGTATTTTTTAAATAATATTCTCTGTAACATTATAGTGTGACAACTGTGTCAATGATGCTCTAGCATAGGTGAATTTGCATGGTGGGAGGGGAGGGGGGCAAATCATATTCTGCTTGGGGCCCCCAAGAGGCTCGGGCCGGCACTGGTTTGGAGATAACTATTAATGTGATCTACCACAGATTTCTTTATCCAATTGTTTTTAGATGGCCCAAATAAGCACATGATCTATAACTTTCTGTGATATCTTATTATGACTCAGCTTCTTTGTGAAATCAGACATGTTCTATTTAAGCAAAATTTGATTTTTTTTTTAGATATAGGCACAAAAAAATACCAAGTTCTTCTCCATCTGTAAAGGTTGAGTTCTGGAAGAGTGAAAGATGAACATATGACTAAAAAGGTCTGCTGAGGTTGAAATGTGGTTTAGGTGTTTGGGGTTGATCAAATGTGCTAACCAAGTCTAGCTTTCAACATCAGAGACCTACTTCTATGTATTTATGGATGCTGCATAAAGATAATGACTCATAAAGTGTCGGAAGCTACAACAAAGGTGTCACCGGGTGTCGATTCCTTGCATGGTAGGCATTGATAGATGTGAAGAGGAGCGTCGGTCAGAGGCTGCACGGCGTGCACTGATCTCACCTTGCGTTTTTCAATGTGGAGGTGTAGGCACATTTCCTGGCCACCTGTCGAGCCAGACAGAAGAGCTCCATCCGTCTGAGCAGGAGAGCGTTGTCTCTTATGCAGAACTGGGCAGCAGCTTCATTGGTGATCAGCTAAAGAAGGGGGAAAAAAGATCACAGTGAATGAAAAGTCTGAAGAATGCTTTGAAACAGGCATTCATGCAGGATAAATGCTGCCCCTCTTTGTGTGACTTTACCTCATGGTGTGTGAGCTGCTTGCCCTCTCTCCTCTTGGAGTCAAAGCGACCATAAATCAGGCTGTATTTTCGGATCTCCTCCTCCTTGTTTGGATCCTGGGAGCCCATTCTGAATATGTGACCGACGGTTTTCGCTATTTTCTTGTTCATCCCTAGCAGAGTCTTCACCTCTGCAGGGTCTGATCTGGGCAAGGTTCTGTAGAGTCTGTCCACGCTCTCCACCACGGCCCTGGTCGTTTCCTCGTCCAGCTGCCCCCCTGGCCAGGCTAAGAGGGGTGCCAGGGCAAAGGAGGTGGAGGGCACCGGAGACGTGGAGGGACCCGGAGGACCTGCTGACAGCAGAGGGGGTCTTTGCGGCTCCTCCTCTGCTCCAGATGCAGACGCAAGAGCACCATTCCCATCGGGGTCTGGGCTGAGCCAGGTCAGGTCCATCGGGGAGAGTTTTTCCCTGTAGTGCGTCTCTGGCGGCTGTGGAGAGGCCTGGGAGCAGGGACTTCTTGGACTCCCACTGTGCATTGGGGTGAGACATGACCGGTCCTCTCTGTCACTGGGGGAACCAGGCTGACTGTTGCTCAAAGCCTTTCTGGGCCCACCTGCAGACCCACTGGAGCCAGTCCCTTCAACTTTGAACAACTGGATCCCCCTAAGAGGGACAATAGCCACAGGCTGGCTGAAAAGGGCAGGGTTCACTGCCCACTCTCTGAGAGCCTTCTGCAGCCTACGCACATGCAGCGGCTTGGTCACCATGCCAACCAGGGCCATAATATGTAGGAACTCCTCCTCACCAGCCTCACAGAGCTGCTGCAGGTCGTCTCTCCCCTGCTGGATGAAGGTTTCGTAGTAGGCAAGCAGGTTGGCCCTCTGCAGCACCCGATACAGTTGCAACTCCCCAAGGTTGCGTGGCAGAGACATGGCGCACTGCACTGGAAAGGTCAGCCAAGGGACGGGAAGCACATGCACTGCAAAAACCACCTAGAAATAAGTAAAAATGTCTTAAATCAAATGTATTTACCCTTAATTTTAGTAGTCAAAAGGCATGATTTGCCAATTTAATTAGTATTTTTAACTCTTGAAATAAGATAATTAGATACTATGCACTTGTAATAAGACAACGCAATTGCTTTTTCTTATTTTGAATGTTAATTGTCATGTTCCATTGGCAAAGTGTCTCACTTACCTCTTCAAGACAAAATGCACTTATTTTAAGAACAAATCATAAAAATATATATATATCATATTTTTTTACAGTGTGAAGCTGCAGATAGAGAAGTCCTGGACATTTACACTGGAAAAACCATCTAGAAGTAAGTAAAAATGTCTTAAATTAAGTATATATATCCTTATGTTTATGTAGATATAAGTACTTGTATATATCAATTTAATGCAGAATGATAATAATAAAAGTAGGTAAGTAATGTGGATGTAAAAGATGTTCGCTCCAGAAGTCAAACCTGAAAGAATTTTATCCACTATACCGTTTATCTAGACGGATGTTATGCATCTATTTGTTAGCAAAGGCTGTAAGAAACTATAGTTTGTCTTTCTTTAGAAATATGGACGTTGTGTGGTTCCTGTTGGAACAGTGTAGATTGACCCTCAGGTTCTGGTGGACAGGCACCAGAACATTTACATTGGTTATTGCCTGGACACCCTTATAAAAATTTCTGGCTACGCCTCTGAATTGAAATAATACAATGCAATTGTGTTTTCTTATTTTAAATATAAATTGTCTTGTTCCATTGGCAAAATGTCTCTTTTACCTCCTCAATCCGAGAACATATGCACTTATTAAGAAAAATGACTTCATTTTTTCCAATGTAAGACATTTAAATGACTCTGGCAACTGTTTAAAAGAAGCTTTGCTGTTGCCCTCTAGAAGTTTTGGAAGTATTACTCAAAAACATGCAGCTCTGCATTTTCCCCTCTCCTTTGCCAACAGTAAATCTTTGTAGAAAGGATTTTTTTTCTTACCTTTCCAGGTCCTTTGTGAGGATAACTCAGGAACAATTAAGTTGTTGCAGTGAACCACTAAAATTTCTGTTTACAAAACCGTTGTCATGGCGACCAGTTGTTCCAACCTGAAAATATGACTTTTGATAATGTGGCAGTTATCAAAGCTGAGATTCCAGGTAACAGACAATCAGTGACAAGAAGACTGATGTGAAAGAAAGGGATCTGGGTTCAGGTGTGTTGGCCTACAGGTAAAATATTGGGAGGAAAACTAACAGCACAAATAAAATAATAATTAGAACTCCTTTTAGGGAATTGTCCTTTATTTTGTTAATTATGATTAAATATATATTTATATAGCAAAAATATTTTTGCTTTTCTTTGGTCTAAACTACTGATTTCTTGTAGAACTGAAAAGCTGTTTCAGTGATTAATGGGATATTTATGGATTACAGGGTCGAATAATGCAGTTTGTATCTTTTGTCAAACATGTTTCTGGATGTGTTTGGCTTTCTTAAGTTTTTTTTACTCTATATCCATTTTTCTGTTCACTGAGTGACATAACGTGAGTTCAGTTTGTAAAATCAGGCCACAAATACATCTTGGTAATATGGATGGAATGAAACCTAAAGTCTCAGATGGAGCTTTAGAAATATTTGAGCTTCTTTGACAAACGTCTGCTCCCAGTGTGGATATCAATCAGACAGCAATCGCCGACAGCAATCGGCTTTTAAATTGGAGGTGTGGGTGGAGGTATAGTGGGGGCTTCAAATGAACCCTCATGCGTCTGCTCCTTCATGCAGAGGCTTTGGGGGATTCCCACAGTTTTATCGTGTCAATCTAAACTAAAGGTTTCAGCCTTTAAATGGTCAGGGAGTTTATATAAATATAGAGTTTAAAGAAACTCCACTGTGTTTATCCTGGATTTATAAAGAGCTTCTAATGGCAGCCAGAGGCGTAGCTAGAACATTTTAAAAAGGGTGGCCAGGCAATAACCAAGAGGATAGGCACCAGAACCTCAGGGTCAATGTGTTCCAACAGGTAAATAAAGGAGCAAAACATCCCTATTTTCTAAATAAAGACAAACTAACAAATAGATGCATATATTTAAACATCCATGCTGTCTAAATTAAAGGTGTAGCGGAAAAAATTATTTCAGTTTTGAGTTCTGGGGCGAACATCTTATTCATTGTCATTACTTACCTACTTTTATTAATAAAATTAATATTTGCATGTACTAATATCTACATTCAATGGATTACTTATTATTAAAGTAGTTATTTATCTCTGATTTCAGTGAAGATTTCTAGATGACTTGCAGATGTTGGGATCTGGAGTAGTTCCACCTTTCTCCAGCAGAGTCCGCCATGGATCCTCCTGAGCTGAGCCTTTGACACACCTGAGGCGCATCTCATCATTAGAGGACCCACAGTATTTAACCTGCCTTCAGACCTTGCCTCAACGCCGCAGTGTTAAATCCAGTTTGGTTAGCACCTGAGCCTAGCATCTTCTGAGAACCTTTGTTGCTCTTGAGTCCTGATAGGATTCTAATCCTTTGTCTCTGCTTTCAGGAATCCAGTTTTTCCCTTGTGAGCTCTGGATGAGCTTAACCTGCCGAGCCTGCCCTCTGAGCCAAACCTGAAGACTCTTCTCTGGATACCCATGCAGCTCTGGACTAAGAGCTGGAAACCCAAAGCCAAGGTCTGCCCTCACGTTAGAAGTAAGATGCTGAAGCGGTTATTGGACTCTGCTGAACTAAACAGTCTCTGGACCCAACAGTTCCTCTCTCAAAGCCAAACCCGGACTTCTCAAGGTATAAACCTGAAACTCTCAAACTCAACTGCTTCCAAGCTAACTGAACTGTCATCCACACAGACTCCAGTGAACCAGCCCCCAGGCCTGAACCAGTTCCTGTGTTTATTTCATGTGCTTGTGATCAATAAAACTTGTTAAACTTTTCATCCGTTTCCGTGGTGTTCTGCATACTGGGCTTTTCTGAAACCCATCATGACAGAACACTGCAGCCAAACACTAGGCCCAGCAGATCACCTCCGTCGTCGGTTGGAGGAGCAAGATGCTCAAATCCAGGGACAAACTCAAACCCTCCGTGAGTTACATTGCATGGTCAATTATCATAATCAAATGCTTCAGAGTTATGCTAACTGCATGAGCAGTGCTAATGCCACGCCGGCAGCACAACCATTTCCGGGTCCAGTTCTGCCTCCGAGGTCACCGGCGGTGACGTCATCACCTGAGTTCCGCCCAAGTCTACCTGAGAAGTTTTCAGGTAATATGAAGGACTGTAAAGGATTTTTGTTTCAATGTCGTTTAATTTTCCAAAACTCTCCTGGCAGTTTTCCAACTGATCAAAAGAAGATAACTTTTATTCTGTCCCAATTGACTGGAAGAGCCCTGGAATGGGCTGAGGCAAGATTTGCCTCCGAAGAAAGCCTCAGTTGTCTATACACAGATTTTGTTTCTGAATTCTCTCAAGTATTTAACCAAGAAACTGATCAAACCATTGACTCTCGTGCTCTTTTGAACCTAAGACAGGGAGATTCTTCGGTAGCGGATTTCTCCATTAACTTCCGGGTCAAAGCTGCAGCTTCCGGATGGAATCAAAGTGCTCTAAAAAGCGCTTATTTCATGGCTTTGAACGAAAGCATCAAAGATGAACTAGCGACCCTCGACGAACCTGCAACACTTGAAGAATTAATCCGCCTGCCAATTAGGCTGGATAACAGGATCCGAGCTAGAAACGGCTCCAAATCAAGGAATCAAGGTTCTTTTGCCTCTGCCCCAGCTTCCAATAATGTGACTGTTTTTTCTGCTCCCACAGAACATTTTTCCAAGCCCAGACCTAAAACCCACTCTCTCCCTCTGCCTGTTCAGGCCTCTCATGCTGGAGAGACGGAAGCCGAACCCATGCAGGTTGGTCATACTAGGCTAACTCCTGAGGAAAGACAAAGACGTTTTTTGAGCAAACTGTGTATCTACTGTGGTGAGAGTGGTCATTTCATCGCTTCATGCCCAGCTAAATCAAAAGCCGGGGCCCGTCAGAGGTTCTGAGGAGTCTGTCGGGCCATGTAAACTCTGAAAAATCTCCTCGTCTGATGCTCCCGGCCACTTTATTTTTCTCTGATCAGAACCTCACTCTGTCTGCTTTCATCGATTCAGGCTGTGAACGGAATTTAATTGACTCCTATCTTGTCCAGCAGCTTCAAATAGAAACAGTCCCTCTAACCCAGCCTCTTTGTGTTCGGCAGCTCCCGCTGTGAGGTCTCCTAGAGGTGGGGGGGAGATGGACTCTCCTGACCTTACTTCTGTCCCTTCCGAGTACCATGATTTGGCTCCTGTCTTCAGTAAGGTCAGTGCTACGTCCCTTCCACCTCACAGACCATATGACTGTGCGATTGAGCTATTACCAGGAGCCCCTCTACCCAGCAGTAGACTTTATAATATCTCCAAACCTGAACGAGAAACTATGGAGAAATATATCAATGAGTCATTAGCTGCTGGAATAATTCGTCCATCTTCTTCTCCGTTGGGTGCAGGGTTCTTTCTCGTCGGCAAGAAGGATGGTTCACTAAGACCTTGTATCGACTACAGAGGCTTGAACCAAATAACAGTTAAAAATAAGTAGCCACTCCCATTACTCGCTTCAGCTTTTGAACCTGTACAAGGGGCTACTGTATTCACCAAGCTCGATTTAAGGAACGCTTATCACCTTCTCAGGATTCGAGATGGAGATGAGTGGAAGACAGCCTTTAAGACTCCCTTGGGCCAGTTTGAATATTTGGTCATGCCTTTTGGTCTAACTAATGCCCCTGCATGTTTTCAAGTCTTGGTAAATGACGTTCTCAGAGACTTTTTGAATGTGTTCGTTTTCGTCTACATTGATGACATACTCATTTATTCTAAGAATCTTTCTGAGCATAAGAAACATGTTTGCCTGGTGTTACAAAGATTACTGGAGAACAAACTTTTTGTCAAAGCCGAAAAATGCGAGTTTCATCAGTCTTCAGTCACCTTTTTGGGGTTTGTGCCATGATGACTGTTCTCTCTTTGCAAAGATGATTAATAAATGTGCCGACTGAGTGAAATCCATCGATCTCCGTTTATTTAACTAGGATGAATAGTTGATACTTTTTTCCCACGACAATTTGGCGTTGTCAAGGCAGTTCTCTTTGACTGATTTTTTCTGAGGACAGCGATTTTCAGGAGTGTCAGGTACCACCTGGAGGAAGCAGTCTTCCAGCCTCAATACCCCGGTTAGAAGGTTAAGGGAGTGAGGACTTCTGGCATCGAGGTCCCTGGAGGTCAGCAGGAGGATCAAAACCAACCATTTTTTTTTTGAGACGGTGAGATGATCTTTTGTCGGCACAGTTTAAATTAAATTTCAAAAACTAAATCACAAAACAACAGGTTGTTTACAGATTTAAAGATAATTAGAAATCAAATACTGGAAAATTTGTTCAAACAAAGTCCTCTTCTTCTCCATTAAAATTATAATCTAGCAAGAAACTAATTAATAGGTTAATCATTTTAATGCACTAAAATTTGTAAAATGCTAAAGATTATACATATGAAATAACAGATAATTTTCCTTTTTGGGGGAGCAGAAAGGCAATTCAGGTTTTTGTTCCACCTGTGAACCAAAAGACCTGGCATAGGAACGTGAGGCTCTCTCTAAGGGTGAGAGGAAGGTTGTAGGTGCCACCAGAAGGCATTTAATTTTACTGAGACGTCGGTAATCTAGAGTGGGATCCCCCCCAGTTATCCAGGTTGGCACCATAGGGTTGGTGTGTATCGGGCAGAGTTAAAGTACCTGTAGATAATGGGAAAGGTTCTGCTGTTCTACAGTATGGTAGTAGAACAAAAGGCAAGGTTCCGGGGAATTGTCAACTGCCCAAGGAGAAATTTTTGATCAATTGCAAAGAAAGTAGGGTTCTTTTAATGAAAGTTAAGATAAACAAATATCATGAGAAGTTAGAGGCTAAAAAGAAGGTAAGGTAAGAAATTTACAGATTTTGAAAAAAAAAAAAAAAAAAATGGAAAAAGAAGGTCAAATTAAAAGTTTAAAAACTTAAAATAGAATAAAATGGAGGAATTAACCTAAAATTAAATAAAGAAAACATACAAAATTAAATAGAGAAAAGTAAGGTTGATGATAAAAACAAAATTTGAGAAAATTAGATGAGAAAAGTTTGTGACGAGAGGGGAACGTGACTTAAAGTGACTGAAGGATGAAGTGGGGTGACTGACGAGATGACATTCCTTTCCTGAAAAGGCTTCTTCTTTTATATGGTAAAGATGAACAACTTTATTTTATTTTTTTTAATTATTATTATTCATTTGAAATATTGAAACTTAAACTAATCATTGTTTTTTTTTTTTTACTCCCTGCCCATCAAACATGGACTCCCTGATCGGAGCCGCTCAGAATTCAGACCTGGAGGAGATGCCCCCCCTCCCATCAGCCCGCCGGAGAAAGACAGCCTGCTTCAAGCATCAATCTCCCCCCACCCCCCAATGCACACACACCGACACAGCAACCGGATGGAAATGATGGGTTAAAATCTGGGGAAAACAACACAAAAGGATTTTCATCTGCTCTGAACCCCTGACCCTAATAGCTCACCTGAGCTGCAACCTGCTGCGCAAAGGCTGGGGCCCGATAATTGAGCCCCCCCCGCACCAAGAAAAAAGACGTGGAATGCGCAAAAATGTGCGATTTTTCACGCAGAACTGCTATAAGGAGGTTAGAGGGATTTTTAGCATATTTTCTTCTTAGATTAAAAACAAAGTGTTTTTCGGAAGGTAGTCTCGAACCCGCGAACCGTATTTCAGTCTACGTTGTTCCTCCGCCGCTTTAAATAGACCCTCCCAGGACGTAAATTCTTTCATCCATAGAATTAAAACTATGGCAGAGTTTTCTTCTTAGAGTAATATATTTCTGCTGTTATGGAAACGTACTGAAACATTCACAATAATACTATTTTTATATGATAGTTAATAGTTTGTGTCAGGTTTATTTTTTTATTAAGAAATAATTGAATAATTTAGTCAGGTATACAGGTTTCAATTATACTTAAATAATAAGTGGGTGAATAAACAACTGTAAGATAACACTTATTTTACCTGTATATATACCTACTAGCTTACATCAATGCAACAACAGTGTAACTGCAATACTGCCTTTGAGGCTGAGCTTTATTGGGTCATAAAATCCCAGAGGTCATCAAAGTGAGTGTGAGGAGCTGCACCTGCCCTGACCTCTTTTTAACCCTTCACTATTATGTTATTATTATACACTTTCTAAGCTATGTGACCTATGCTATGAAAGCTGTAAGCTTTCTAAGTTATGTGACCATTTTTTCTATAATATTGTTGCTGCTGTAAACACCAGAATTTCCCCACTGTGGGACAACAAACAGATTTTCTAATCTATTCTATTCAAAGCAAAAGCAGAGCAACCATTCATAACATGAGCACAGCATTTATTCACAAAGACATAATAAAGAAGACAACATACTTCTATTATATAAACAACCAATCTAATAGAAAATATAACACCAATTATTGATAAATAATAAATGAAAGGAAAACATGACATAATAAAAAAATAAAGAAAAGTTCACTAATAAGGGAGGATTATTTACATGGTATTATTGATCTAGGATATAGATCCAGATCATGGGGGTGGGGGGTTCTGTGGCCTCTTAAGCTGACGCTGTTCACTCAGCCACTCCTCTAAAGATTTGCCCCCAGAGTTTCTGGGGCAGAAAGTGGCACTTCCAAAGCGGCTGTGTCCAAATTCTTTAATTTTGGGCTGCCCACATGTGCTGCACTTATTGAAGGCCACCTCTCTGACATATTGTCTTTTGCTAGTCCCAGCAGCCTCCTCCTCTGCCCTGCGCCGCCTGTTCTTCTGGGTAGAGCGGGACACAGAGGGTGTGGGTGCAGGAGCCACTGGTGTGGCAGGTAGAACCACTATAGGAGCAGCAGAGGGGTGACCAGCGCCTGCTGCCATCATCGTTGATCCAGGGTTCACCAGTAAGAACTGCAGTGGTGCCATAGGAGCTGGGAGAGGAGGAGCTGCTGGGGCAATGTGCTGCACCACCTTGGCACTGGCTGGTCGTCTGCCTGGGCGCAGTTTAGGAGCCTGTCCTGCTCTGTTTGGGGGGAGGACAAACTCGTGCTGGAGCCCTGAGGTGGAAGGAGCTTGGTACAGCTTTTCTCGTGGAGCAGGAAGCTGCGATCCAGCCACAGCGATGCCACCTTCTGCAGCAAGGCCCTGGGTGAGGTCACTTATCTCCTGGCTGCTCTCCCTTTTATTAAACCTGCAATCAGAAGTTGTTGTCATTATCATTTACTGCAACATCTTTGTTTCAGATGTTTTGTCAAACTATTTGTGCTTACCACTGGGTAAGGGTCCTCTGGTTCAGGAGGAACAGCTGCAGAGAGGTGGCCTCCATCAGAGAGTGGCAGTTTAGCACCAGGTCTCTGATGTGGTGGTAGTCACCCAGAACCTTGGTCCACCGAGGAAGCCGGACACCAGCCTTCTTAGTTGGAGACCTGTGCAATGAGCACAGCTTGATGCATATGGCCTCCACTAAGCGACTTGTGCTGGGCCACTGGGCTGGACCCCCTGGGTGGCCAATCAGGCACCTCTTCACACTTTCCACTCCTGGGGTCACTCTGGTGTTCTTAGGGGCCTTGAAGCGACCATGTGCCAGCTTAGTTTGGTGTCTGGGCTGATAGCTGATCCTGCTCTTGTCCCCATCAGGTAGGGCAGACCACAGGCGGATGACCTCTGTGACCTGCTGCTGGTCCAGGTAGAGAGCCTGACGGAGGGACACCAGGTACTCTGCCAAATCCTGCACCTTATCCCAGCCAGGGATGCCATCAGGTCCAAGAACTGCAGCCTACAAGGAAGCATTAGAACACAAACACAGCATGTCAAAAATCAGAGTGTCAGAGCACAGACATATATATGGAGCTGTAGATAATGAGTAGACTACTAACAGGAGGCTGGTCTGCAGCAATGGAGCCAGCTGATGTTGCAGGATCAGAGGCTCCACTTGGCTGTGCAGGAGGCAGAGGAGGCTCAGAGGACTGGAGCAGAGGAGTCAGTCCTTGACTCGAGGTGGATGGCTGTGGTGAGGGTGGTGCAGAGGAAGAGGGGCTGTAGGGCTGTAGGATGCTGCTGTGGACCGGCACAGTCTCTGAGGAGTCATAGAGGATGGGGATGGTAAGGTCCTCAGATTCCTCCTCCACAAAGCCTTCATCTTCAACAGCCCCATCATCCATCTGCTCGACCAGTCGATCCTCTTCCTCTGGGTCTTCCACGACAGTCAGGGACTGACCAGACTGGCTGTAGAGGTACTCCAATCCTAGAAGCTCCCCTGTGGAAGAACACAGGAAAACAAAATACAAAAATATTAGTGAAGAATCTAACCTTAGTTGAATACTCTATTGACCTGACTTAGTTACTGTCTTTCATAATTATTAATCTGAATATTAAAAAAATCTTCATAAAATACAGTAGGATATACTTTTAAATGTCTATTTATAAAATACTTTTAAAGTACTTAGTACTTGATGTACTATTTCAGTCCGATACTTTTACTACTAGCATGTTACTTTAGTACTTTCATATCAATGATAAAGGTTTGTTGAAAGACATCATCATTAGAAAATCCATTATGGATTTCGTTATTGTTAACAAATCTGAGCTGACATGAATCCTTCTTGCCTGTGTACGCCCCCGGAGGTTGGTAGCGCTCGTCCAACGACATCTTCAGGACCTTACGGCTGAGTCGGTCCATGGCCTCCCTTTCAGCACAGCTGTAGGTCCTCAGCTCAGAGTTCCCCCTGACCGCCTCCTCCATCCGGTCCTGGTTCCAGCGCATCAGACCTTCCAGCAGGTAGGCCTGGAAGTGAGCGTCGCTGGCACTGGTCCCTGCAGGTTAATCACAATCAAAATTGAAATACTCTGTTCAAAAGAACATCAAAACTAAATTAAAACTGTGACCACCCACCTGGGATGAAACGGTTGAGATGGAGGTGGAAGGACTCTAAGGAGGTGGAGCCACGAGCACAGCGGTAGCAGCAGAGCTCCACGCCACCCTTCTTCAGCGTCCCCGTCTTCAGGTACAGAGGGAAGCCTTCTGGGTCCTGAATACAGGCGATGTGTCTCTCCTGGTCTTTCCACACCTGCTGGATGCGCTCGTGGTCCAGCAATGGTACTCCCAGAGTGTCCTTCCCCTTCTCACTGTCCATCTCATCTATTAGGGCCTTTATCCTCCTCGCCGTCTCCTCCAGCCCCCTTGTCCTCTTCCGGCAATGCAGAGCCAACTCCTTCCTGTTGATCATTTGGTCCAGGGCTGTTTCAGAGACTGGACCGACTCCTCTGGCCAGAAGCTCCCCCCGTTTTGCCAAACGAAGAGCAGCAGCATCTTCTGGGTCCAGCTCAAAAATACACCTGGAATGTTTATTCTGACAACATTCTCTGAATTACTTAAAAAAAAAAAAAACTTTAACTTTATTTGCAATTCAGGTGAACAGTTATATTTGCTTTGTACGTTTCTTTTAATTAAGTTAAATGCTATACAAATGTCCTCAATTTAATCTTTTCTATTAACCTGAAAAATGACTACTAAATATACAAGCAGGATGACTGTTTACCTCGACAGCCGAGCCATGAAGGTGCCGTAGAGCTGATGAGCCTCAGTGATGACTCCTGCTGCAAAACGGCGCATGAAGTGCCAGATGTCCAGGCGCACTATGAGCTCATTCCACTCAGAAAACATGGCCCTGACCTGCGACTGTCTTTGTGCGTGCTGGCTGCAGCAGTCCCGGTCCACATACATGATGACAGGCGGTGGCACTCCTGCCTCTCTGTACCTCCTCATGAGACCCGCTGCCATGGGCCACAGTCCATGCCCCTCTGCGGCGGTCAGCACAGACACCAGAACCTGGCCGTGCTCATTGGCCACATTTGTACACCAGCCGGCAGTGTTGGCAGCTGCACCAGCCAGTTTTTTGGTAACCTAAGAAAAACCAACACAGTTAATAAGACTTAAAATAAAAACACTGAGAATAATTTGGGCTATTTTTTTTACCTTTTTGGTGGAGTCCATCTTAAGGACAGAGCCAAATACCGAAGTTATTTTGGCCTTGACCTCAGGTAGCCGTGACAGGACGTCCCTGGCATACACAGACAGAAGCCACTTGGGTTTAGGAAGGGGCGGGAGCGGCGGCGGGGCAGAGAACACTGGAGGCTCAATGATGGTGGAGTCGACGAAGGGCTCGCAGGCAGTGAGGTACTCCAACGTGCGTCGTGTCCACGCAGCACTGTGCTCCTCCTGCAGCTTCTTGTAAAGCTGCGTGACACTGTTGCCCTGGGTCCTCTCCCGCATCATGATGACCACACGGTAGTCACATGAATACCTACAGACAGCAGAATGGGTCAATGTACTTACATTAAGGAAAAACCCAAGATTTTATGCTGTTTAGTATCAGCAGAGGCCCATTATAGGACAAAAAATATATATAATAGATATGTAATACCTGTTTGTCAGAATGGCAGGGAATTTTCTGCGGTGCCCAATGTCCAGCTGTCCCAGGATGTCCTCAGACCAGGCTGGACACTTCTTCTTGCACCTTTTGCACTCTAGATACTCAGTAGCCATGTCATACCACCCATCTATGTCCAGGACCTTACGCACAGTGCGGTAGAGGCCAGCAGCTGTCAGCTTGTGGTTACTACAGGCTGGCTGGATACAGACTAGGGCAATGGACCACAGCTTTAGCGGCATCCAGAGGAACAAAGGGCGGCAGAAGAAGACGTCAGGAGACGCCGGAGGCTGGGTAAAGAGGGTGGGGGGCTGGGGAGGGTACCACCAGAAGTTGGGATGTGGGATCAACTCTGGTTTCCCCGTTTTGGTGTTGGCCCTGAACAGGCTCTTCCTGATCCTGTCCTGCTGGAAGGAGGGGAGCTGCTCCTTCCAGCGTACAGGAAGCTCTGCAGGTGGCTGGAAGACAGGACCTGGAGCCCAGAGCACTGGAGGAGCAGGAGACGAAGCAGGAGATGGAGCTATGGCTGGAGCATCTGGAGTGAAAAAAGGACAATTAGTTTGTTGCTTTCAGGAAAATTGTCACAGCATGTCTTTTTCAGCACTGCTGGGTGGACAGCTACCAGGGTTATAACATTTAGTAAAATGCATGATGCTTAGTGGAGAGGCAATGTGACGATTAGAGGAGTTATGGATGGAAGAAGCGAAAATCTTTCAGATTTTCATCCGACCCCTCCTCTGCCACTGTGTCTGCCCCCTCCTCTGCCCCTGTGTCTGCCCCCTCCTCTGCCCCTATGTCTGCCCCCTCCTCTGCCCCTGTGTCTGCCCCCTCCTCTGCCCCTATGTCTGCCCCCTCCTCTGCCCCTATGTCTGCCCCCTCCTCTGCCCCTATGTCTGCCCCCTCCTCTGCCACTGTGTCTGCCCCCTCCTCTGCCACTGTGTCTGCCCCCTCCTCTGCCACTGTGTCTGCCCCCTCCTCTGCCCCTGTGTCTGCCCCCTCCTCTGCCACTGTGTCTGCCCCCTCCTCTGCCCCTGTGTCTGCCCCCTCCTCTGCCCCTATGTCTGCCCCCTCCTCTGCCCCTGTGTCTGCCCCCTCCTCTGCCACTGTGTCTGCCCCCTCCTCTGCCCCTATGTCTGCCCCCTCCTCTGCCCCTATGTCTGCCCCCTCCTCTGCCACTGTGTCTGCCCCCTCCTCTGCCACTGTGTCTGCCCCCTCCTCTGCCCCTGTGTCTGCCCCCTCCTCTGCCCCTATGTCTGCCCCCTCCTCTGCCACTGTGTCTGCCCCCTCCTCTGCCCCTGTGTCTGCCCCCTCCTCTGCCACTGTGTCTGCCCCCTCCTCTGCCCCTGTGTCTGCCCCCTCCTCTGCCCCTATGTCTGCCCCCTCCTCTGCCCCTGTGTCTGCCCCCTCCTCTGCCCCTGTGTCTGCCCCCTCCTCTGCCCCCTCCTCTGCCCCTATGTCTGCCCCCTCCTCTGCCCCTGTGTCTGCCCCCTCCTCTGCCCCTATGTCTGCCCCCTCCTCTGCCCCTGTGTCTGCCCCCTCCTCTGCTACTGTTCCTCCTTCACCTGCTTCCACACATAGCAGACCACTGATGGCGGCCAGTGTAAAGGCCCTGTTGGTAAGGGGGAAGCATCTGTCACCATCACAGCTGGCAAAAAAAATTATGTCCCCAGCTAAACCCGGTCCTCCGCCTCTGACTGCACCTGCTGCTAGGAGACAGCTCTTTACCTGTGGTGAGCTTCAGCTAATCCTCACATGTATGATGATGGCGTGTTGTGCTTAGTTTTGTATTATTTCACAGATGCTGCTGGGGATTTCTTTGAGGAGGAAGATGACCAGGAGATGATGGCTGTGGCCTCACAGGCTGAGGAACAACTTCCTCAAGGTATGGAAATCCTAAACAATCTGTAACAAATAATTTTGTAATATCTTTAATAATACAAACTGTTCTTGTATACTATTGTACAGAGAAGTGGCACTGATCCAGTGTCAGCCTACATTCGGTCCTCAAACCAAAAAGGATATCTAAAGGTGTACGTGGATATTTTTATTTTATTTCATCCTCCTAATCACTGGTTAGAGCTCCTTCTTGTCATCTCACATAACCCCCCGCCACCCCCACCCACCTGGTATAAGTGGCTGAAATATTCTGTGTTAGAGGTGCTTGTAGTGTTTGCACTGCTTTGCTTCACCTTTGGCTGATTCCATCTCTCTGTCTTATATTTCACCAAGCGGTGGTCGGATGAAAATCTGAAAGATTTTCGCTTCTTCCATCCATAACTCCTCTAATCGTCACATTGCCTCTCCACTAAGCATCATGCATTTTACTAAATGTTATAACCCTGGTAGCTGTCCACCCAGCAGTGCTGAAAAAGACATGCTGTGACAATTTTCCTGAAAGCAACAAACTAATTGTCCTTTTTTCACTCCAGATGCTCCAGCCATAGCTCCATCTCCTGCTTCGTCTCCTGCTCCTCCAGTGCTCTGGGCTCCAGGTCCTGTCTTCCAGCCACCTGCAGAGCTTCCTGTACGCTGGAAGGAGCAGCTCCCCTCCTTCCAGCAGGACAGGATCAGGAAGAGCCTGTTCAGGGCCAACACCAAAACGGGGAAACCAGAGTTGATCCCACATCCCAACTTCTGGTGGTACCCTCCCCAGCCCCCCACCCTCTTTACCCAGCCTCCGGCGTCTCCTGACGTCTTCTTCTGCCGCCCTTTGTTCCTCTGGATGCCGCTAAAGCTGTGGTCCATTGCCCTAGTCTGTATCCAGCCAGCCTGTAGTAACCACAAGCTGACAGCTGCTGGCCTCTACCGCACTGTGCGTAAGGTCCTGGACATAGATGGGTGGTATGACATGGCTACTGAGTATCTAGAGTGCAAAAGGTGCAAGAAGAAGTGTCCAGCCTGGTCTGAGGACATCCTGGGACAGCTGGACATTGGGCACCGCAGAAAATTCCCTGCCATTCTGACAAACAGGTATTACATATCTATTATATATATTTTTTGTCCTATAATGGGCCTCTGCTGATACTAAACAGCATAAAATCTTGGGTTTTTCCTTAATGTAAGTACATTGACCCATTCTGCTGTCTGTAGGTATTCATGTGACTACCGTGTGGTCATCATGATGCGGGAGAGGACCCAGGGCAACAGTGTCACGCAGCTTTACAAGAAGCTGCAGGAGGAGCACAGTGCTGCGTGGACACGACGCACGTTGGAGTACCTCACTGCCTGACACAGTGGTAGAGGAGGGGGCAGACACAGGGGCAGAGGAGGGGGCAGACACAGTGGCAGAGGAGGGGGCAGACACAGTGGCAGAGGAGGGGGCAGACACAGTGGCAGAGGAGGGGGCAGACACAGGGGCAGAGGAGGGGGCAGACACAGTGGCAGAGGAGGGGGCAGACATAGGGGCAGAGGAGGGGGCAGACACAGTGGCAGAGGAGGGGGCAGACATAGGGGCAGAGGAGGGGGCAGACATAGGGGCAGAGGAGGGGGCAGACACAGTGGCAGAGGAGGGGGCAGACACAGGGGCAGAGGAGGGGGCAGACACAGGGGCAGAGGAGGGGGCAGACATAGGGGCAGAGGAGGGGGCAGACACAGTGGCAGAGGAGGGGGCAGACATAGGGGCAGAGGAGGGGGCAGACACAGTGGCAGAGGAGGGGGCAGACATAGGGGCAGAGGAGGGGGCAGACATAGGGGCAGAGGAGGGGGCAGACACAGGGGCAGAGGAGGGGGCAGACACAGTGGCAGAGGAGGGGGCAGACACAGGGGCAGAGGAGGGGGCAGACACAGTGGCAGAGGAGGGGGCAGACATAGGGGCAGAGGAGGGGGCAGACACAGTGGCAGAGGAGGGGGCAGACACAGGGGCAGAGGAGGGGGCAGACACAGTGGCAGAGGAGGGGGCAGACATAGGGGCAGAGGAGGGGGCAGACACAGTGGCAGAGGAGGGGGCAGACATAGGGGCAGAGGAGGGGGCAGACACAGGGGCAGAGGAGGGGGCAGACACAGTGGCAGAGGAGGGGGCAGACATAGGGGCAGAGGAGGGGGCAGACACAGTGGCAGAGGAGGGGGCAGACATAGGGGCAGAGGAGGGGGCAGACACAGTGGCAGAGGAGGGGGCAGACATAGGGGCAGAGGAGGGGGCAGACACAGGGGCAGAGGAGGGGGCAGACACAGTGGCAGAGGAGGGGGCAGACATAGGGGCAGAGGAGGGGGCAGACACAGTGGCAGAGGAGGGGGCAGACACAGGGGCAGAGGAGGGGGCAGACATAGGGGCAGAGGAGGGGGCAGACATAGGGGCAGAGGAGGGGGCAGACACAGTGGCAGAGGAGGGGGCAGACACAGGGGCAGAGGAGGGGGCAGACACAGTGGCAGAGGAGGGGGCAGACATAGGGGCAGAGGAGGGGGCAGACACAGGGGCAGAGGAGGGGGCAGACACAGTGGCAGAGGAGGGGGCAGACATAGGGGCAGAGGAGGGGGCAGACACAGTGGCAGAGGAGGGGGCAGACACAGGGGCAGAGGAGGGGGCAGACACAGTGGCAGAGGAGGGGGCAGACACAGGGGCAGAGGAGGGGGCAGACATAGGGGCAGAGGAGGGGGCAGACATAGGGGCAGAGGGCAGGTTGCCAGGAGCTGAAGCCTCCCTCTTCAGCACGTACGCCTTAAACAGAGCCATGTTGGTGTGTGGCCTGGCCTTTGCCTTCTTCAGGTAGCTGATGAGAGCCTGGGCCTCCTTGCTTGGGTCCTCAAACACCTCCTTCATTGACCTGCCCTTAAAGTCCCCGAACTCCACCATCAGACACCCAGAGTCACCACTCCTCTGGGCCTCCTGGAGCATAGCTTGTTTTTTCTTGTAAGCATCCACAGCTTCTCCTATCTCCCTGATCTGGGAGGTGTACCTGAGGAACAGGTGTTTGCTTGCTGATAGCGGGGTGTCTCTCTCCTCCTCCCCCATGATGCTGCTGACCAGGTAGACAGCGTAGCCCAGGGAGTTCTCCAGAAGCCACCGGAACCTCTGACCTTGGTATTTACCAAACTGGATCTTGCAATGAGCAAGAACCAGGAACTCATCTGCAGGATTACCTCCATTCTCCCTCACAAAGGCAGTGGCATCAGCCAAGACCTCCTCCTTACAGCGGGCCCTCCCTCCCACCACAACCTCTCGCCCTTTTGCCTCCTCAGTTGGCCCCATGAGGAGCCGACCCTGATGAGTTTTACGCAACACGGGGTATGCATACAGGATCTGAAAGGAAATAACCATAAACACAATTATATTATTTAAAATAAAAATAAAAAAATCAACATTTACACAGGGTTTCTGGCTGATTTCTTTCAGTCTGCAGTAAAAGACTTTATGAATGACCCACATTTATTCAAGCATTTATTCATTGCTGCAGTGAAACAATAATTCCTAAGCAACAAACAAAACCACTTCATTTTAGGCTGGACTTAAAATTATTATTATGATTCTACTATACTATAGTTTTTTGTTTTTTTTTTGCATATTACATATTGCGAAAAATACATTGATAACAAAAACAGCTGCATTTGGAATATTGTTTCTATAATACAGAGTGTAACCCCAAAAATTTTTTCGGAGGAAAATTTTTTTTTTTTTAAAAAAAAAAATTTTGGGGTTTTTAAAAAAAATTTTTTT